TTCGTTTGAAGGGGTATCGGTTCCCCTTAAATGGGTACCGATTCCCTTGCCCAGAAATCATAGTTTTAGCTCAAAAATCACTTCATTTTTAGATCAACACTTCATACTTCACTCCCTTTAATATTCCTAACTTTCATACACATACTTAAACTCATTTCTACTCCATAATCACTTCTTTAAACTCAAAATTCTATCATTTACATGGCATTCAAGAATCACACTAAATTTCCAACATGTTCTAAAACCCATTCTATCACTTCATATCTCTTAATTTAACCCTTGACAAGTCAAATTAAACTTCAAAATCTATTAACTCCTTCTATTTCAAAAATTCACTTAAAAACTCATTTTTCTTAATTTCTCATAACTTGCTAATCTTTCAGTTTTAAGCCACCTAAAGCTTTCCTTAATCTTTCTTAGCATCCCAAGAATCAAAATAAGCTTTAAAACGAAAGAATTAACCAACTGAAGACCCACTTACCTTATACAAGGCTTCACGGTGGAAAGGAGGAAGAAGAAGGCTGGAGAATACTCTGGAGAAATTATCTCCTTTCCCACGTTTTTATATCCCTTAAAAAGAGAATAAAAAAATCTTCTCTTATAAAAGACCATAATACCCTTGTTATTTCCAAACTTTACCATTAAATCCAACATCAACTTTCCTCAATTAAATCCATGAACTTTTAACTTATTTCGAAATCAAGCACCTAGTTTTTAAAATTTGCAATTTAGTCACTAACCCTGATTTAGGATGTTACATTAGTACTGAACCAGCAAAAGTATGTGCTTGATTTGTTGCAAATGAGTGGATTTGTAACAGCTAAAGAGCTTCTTACTCCCATGATAACTCAGTGCAAACTCTCTACAGTCAGCGGAACACTTCTTGATGAAGTAGCTAACTACAAAGTATTGTTGGTGCTCTCCAATATGTAGTGATCACTAGGCCAGACATTGCCTACGCTGTTAATCGTGTCTGTCAGTTCATGCAGGCTCCTAGAGACTCACATTTCCAGGCAGTCAAAAGAATTCTACGTTACTTATAAGGCACATTAGACTATGGTCTGAGGTTTTCATTCTCGTCTCGACTATCATTGGTGGGATTTGCTGATGCAAATTAGGGGGCTGATGTGGATGACAGACGATCCACATCAGGATACTGCATCTATTTTGGTGGCAATCTAGTGTTATGGAGTTCTCGCAATCAACAGGTGGTTACTCGATCCACTGCTGAAGCAGAATATCGCAGTGTTGCCGCAGCTGCTTCAGAAATCATGTGGCTTATGTCTTTGTTCAAGGAGTTGCAGTGCTCACTTCATGGAAAACCAACCCTTTGGTGTGACAATACAAGCACGGTTGCTGTGTGTTCTAATCCAGTTCTCCATTCAAAATTCAAACATGTTGAGTTGGATTTATTCTTTGTTCGAGAAATTGTAGCAGCTGGCCGCTTATAGGTACAAGAGGTTCCAGCATATGAGCAGGTTGCTGATGCTCTCACTAAGCCACTATCTGCCCCGATGTTTATCCGTCATCGGCAGAAACTGTTGGTCACTCAGACTCTTAAGGATGGGTTTGCTTTGCTAACTAGCTTTTCCCAAAGTTTGAGTGATGATGAAGAAGCTGAAAGTGTGAATCACAGGGAGAATGTTAGTGTATATGAATTGCATGAAGAATGTTCATCAAAAGCCAAGGCTGGAAATGTGAATTGTATGAGGAATGTTAGTGTATAAATGTTAGTGAAGAGTTAGTTGTAACTAAAGTTGTTAAGAGTGTTGTTGCTAGTTAGTTAAAGAAGCTGTTGCTAGTTATTTAAAGAAGTTGTTAGCTGGCGTTGTTAATCAGCTAGTATAAATGAGCTGGTTAACCTCTTATCGTGTATGCAAGATTATTGAAATGCAATACAGAAATTTCTTCTATCTTCTCCTTTATCTCTTTGTTACATTACAGTTAGTGTTATATCTCAACAATCCGATTGTTAGAATTAACTTATTCATTATATTTAGTTTGATTTAGATTCAGTCTTTCAAGAGCTAAAACATTGCATTAAAAATCACAAAACACGTGCTGAAAAATAAAGAAAATGCTACAGAATGGGCCCACCACTTAACACATAATAACATCACCACAAGTTGAAAGGCCTCGTACATTCCGAGTTACTTTTACCATGTGTGAATTTAATGGAATTCTTTAAATGTATTTTGATATTTATCATAGTTTATTTTTAACTAATATAGATATATAAGATAGAATTATAACATGCAATAATATTCCCAAAAAAATAAATAAAAATGTTCAACACAATATTAAAGGTTGGTTTTCATGTATTTTATATTCTTAATATTAATATGTATTTAATTCTTTTATTTTTATATATTTGATATTAGAGAAACATAATTTTACATGTATCCTTAAAAGTAATGACAAGTGTCTTGTTTTAAATTTTTACATATATTTTGAAGAGACCAATTTAGGAGTACTTGTGGAATTATTTTTATCTATTGAGAACGAACCAAATAATTATTCATGCATAAAACATTATATATATATATGTTATAATTAAAGTTATATAAGAAAAAATGGAAATTTTTCTTAGACAATATGGTGAAAAAATATTTTTTTCTATGTAAAGCATAAGAAAAATTACTTCTTTAATTAAGATGTTTATTAGTATTCGAGAAATTTATCACGATTGAATAGAGATTTCTAGAAAGTGTATTGATTGCACGATGACTTCTCCATGCAGTAGCGATGTAATTTGACGTAGAAGAACAAGAAGTCGCCGTGTAGTCTATGTACTTTTCAAAAGTCGTCATGCAATCCTACAAATTCTGTAGCACACACCCTAATTGAAGAAATAATTTTTCTTGCACCTTACATGAAAAAATCTTTTTTTTTCACCACATGATCGTGATTTTGCCAAAAAAAAATTCAATAATTCAAAGAGCTCTACCTTAGAAAAAGTTGTAAAATTCACAAACTGGTGCAATTCGTTGTTACCATCCTACATGATAACCTTTTGTCTTCCTTCATTACTCATAAACTGCATTTTTCGATACAAGGTTATCGACACTCGCCATCATACCCTTTTGGGAGGCACATACTGCACATGCACTTCTTCACAGAGAGCCTGTACAAAGGTAAACAACAACAACCATCAATGTTGGAAATGCATGATTTCCCAATCCACAAAAGCAATCGACTCCGAAGTCGAAACTCTAATAAACAAATTAACTTCCATATAAACAGAAACAGTTGCGAGCATATGTATTATCCTTGAACTGCATTCTAGTAAAATTTGATACAATAACAGCATTAGCTGCTACCTGCTGAGTTCCATGGTGGTTTCATCGTAAACACCAGCAAGATAGCTTGAGGCAAGAATTCAGCCAATATGTTCAATTTAATTTGCCCATTCCAATTGCCAGCACCAAAATCACCAAATTCATAGCACATAGGTCAATCAAATACTTTGAACTTATTCCATGTATGGCAGAGCGCTTCGCAGAGACGATGACACACTAGTAATGGAGAGAGGGAAACTGAACATTATCATCATAGATCTAATGATAAAAGAGACTTGGATAGATCACATCAAGGCAGAAGTGTCTACCATACTAATACACTAGAAATTAAAATAAGCTAATGAACTCCACTCAAGATGAGAAACCAGCCTGCATATCTTCGGAAGTGCCTCTGAAACTGCAAGAGTGTAACAACCAGGGACAAATATTCCTGAAAAAGGGTTTAAAGCAAATTATAAGCATCCCCCCCCCATAACAGCCACCAAGCATGTTTCTTTTGACACAAGCAGTTTCTAACTCATTTCCAACAACAATGCTGAAACTATACCTATATCATACTAGTCTCGATTATGCTTTGAAAGAAGTCTCTTAAACTTTGAAATAGTTACTGGAATAACCATGCACTACCAGGGATGACCGAGAGAGTGGCAGGGAACATCCTTAAAATTTCAAATTCTCATGTAATTTATATTTTTTTTTGTATTTTATATTGAAAATTTATTTTCACTCCTATAATTTTATAAGTTTACCCAACATAAAATTCGCATCAGTTCGTGTGCGCGACAAGAAACGGTAAACTTTGAAAAGATGCGAAAAAATCAAAAGTTAAGGTTTGAGCATAGTACTAAATTGCGGCCGCAACGCAACGTTTTTAAGGTTACCGCGACGCAATATCAGAACCACATCACGATTGTTGCGGTAAAAAAACGTTACGTAAAACTAAAACACGCTATAAATTGAGCCACACCGCCGCAACAAATTTTAAATAATCTGAAATATAAAATTACATAGATGAATTATTCTAATTTAATTCTTAAAACTGGATTATAAATATATATCATTATAATATTGTAATAGTTAGGTTTAAAATTAGTTACTTAAATTTGAATTAATTAAATTATTTATTAACGCTATTTTAAAATTAAATTAATTTAAATTTAAATTGAATTTTTCTCATATCTAAAATTGACGTAATTAATTTTAAATTAAATTTTTATATTAACATTAAATATCATGATTATATGTTTATTTATTATTCTATAAATTTTGTATAAGAAAGGAATTCACTTTATATTATAGTATATGTATTTTATCTATTTACTATGAAACTATAAAATTTTATCTAATCTATAATAAAATAGTATACGTTACTCATTAACATTAGGGTAAAGTATAGTAATAGTTACTTAATTTTTTAAAGCTTTTATTTAGGTCCCCAACTTTTAAAACTTAGAATACAGTCCCCTAACATTTAGTCCGTTTGCAATATGGTCCCCCAACAGTTACGTCGGGGACCATATTGCAAACGGACTAAATGTTGAGGGACCATATTGCAACGGACTAAATGTTGGAGATTGTATTGCAATTTTTAAAAGTTGGGGACCTGAATGAAAGCTTTAGAAAAGTTTAGTGATCATTACTATACTTTACCTATTAACATGCTGAAACCCTGAAACGAGCTTTTTCACTGGTTTTTGAGAATCAAAAGCGAATAGTTATCACCTCAAATGTGATATCGGATGCACAGAAGTAATCGGATAAAACGGTGACAGATGCTGATCTATAAGTTTCTAGGCTAATTCCATGGTTATCTTTATCAGATGCGTTGTCTTCCCAAGAAATTATGGTGTTGGACATTTGATCGGCATTCCCAACAAATGATATATATGGCTTGCTCTTCGGGACAGTTACTTTCTCCCTGCAAAAATGATCAAAATTAGCTGGAAAAAATGACAGAAGAGAGGAGGACAAGCAATCCCATGAATGTTAACTGTCGAGTTAAACATACAAACCTGTAAGTTCCAGGAAGAATAAAAATCTTAACTCTCCGAGTATTATTTTCCGGAACCATGTCTATTGCTCCTTGAACAGTGACGGAATCTGCTCCACCATTCTTGTTAACCACGATAACTCGGCTTCGATTACGATTAACCCTCGAATCACTCAACTTTATTTGATGTTCATCCACTTTTATGTCATCCAAACTGATGAAATTCTTCACATGCACTTCAATAGTCATCGAAAAACTGACTCGAAAACCGCACAGGAAAGCGACCACAACCATAACCAAGGAGCAGCAGCAGCCGTAATCCATAGCTTAAGATTCTGTCAAAGCTTTGGCAATCGAAAACCCAGAAACCGAGACAATCGCATGTTTTACTCAGTGACTAGAATATATATTGTCGTTGAAGTCTAGGAGTTTACATATACAGTATCTGAAGTTGAAAGAGTGTGAAAGAGTGTGAAAGAGGTGAGAATAATAAATAAAAGGAAGCGTAAAGGAGAGCGTGTGCACTAAACAGTAGCAAGAAGATTAAAGCTTGCAAGAATCATTTGAAGAACCGAAATCAAATTTAAGTTTGATCATAATAGGACAAAGTACAAAGAGAGGGGAAGAGTTGAAAGCTGTAAACAATGGGAAAACCCAATTCAGAATCAAGAAGGAAGTTCATGAGAGTTTTGTGCATGACCAAACTGAAAAGGGAAGAAAAAAAACAGTTAAAAAACGAGTCTTTAAAATGAGTTAATTGGGAGTTTTTTGTTTGAACATGGAGAAGGTGGTTTCTTTGATGAGTAGTTAATAGAAATCGTGAAACAAAAAACAGCAGTTTTATGTATCTTTTAGCTGAAAATGAAAACACTAATGATATTAAAACCAGCCTCTTTTCATGACGGATGTTATTCAATACTTGTGATTCAAACTGTTTAAATTAATAATACTGTGCACACCAATCCACCTCGGCAATTAAAGAATTTATTATTATTTTTGAGATTTTGGATTCCGAACATTGCATATATACGAATACAAACGTTTATTGTTAAAAGTTTAAAAGTATTTGAATAAATACTACATTATCTTCAACTCAAATTTATTCAAAAAAAAATTATTATTATTGTTTTTTTGTTTGACAAGTTGGTATTGAATTTGCACTTAATTAAACTTCCATCCATACTAATTGTTTCAATAAGATAAAATATTAAATTCTTAAATAAGATTAAAAAATTGAATTTCGATGTTATGAATAATTTAAATTAAATTATGAAAATTATTTTATTGTTCCATTTAAATTATTTGATTAATAAATTGAATATGAACCGTTGTCCAAAACGCAATAAGTGAGGTAATTTGTTAAATATTGTTTTCCTTCATTTTAATGAGTAATTAATATTGTTGCGGGAGTTATATTAAAAATATCATTATAAAAACCTTTTGCCTTTTATTTTTAAATTAAAAAATCTTAATCTTATTATATTAAACACGAAAAATAGATTTTTTTTTATAAAATATTTTTATCGTTCAATTAATAGTTATTTATTAAATAATTTTTAGGGTAAAGTATAGTAATGGTCACTGAACTTTTCTAAAACTTTCATTTAGCTCCCCAAACTTTTAAAACTTGTAATATAATCTCCCAACATTTAATCCGTTTGCAATATGGTCCCTCAACATTTAGTCAATTTGTAATATGGTCCCCGACGTAACTGTTGGAGGATCATATTGCAAACGGACTAAATGTTGAAAGACTGTATTACAAGTTTTAAAAATTAGAGGACCTAAATAAAAACTTTAGAAAAATTCAGTGATCATTACTATATTTTTCCCTTAACATTATAATTGTTATTATCTATTATCATGTATGATAACACTTCCATAGTTTATATTTGTTTTTAACAAATTTTTATTTATGAAAAATTTTATTTTAAAAAAAATAAAAAATATTAATATTAGTATATTAAAAGATAATTTGTAAAATGTATAAATATAATATTTTAAACGTATTGTGATTTTTGAAGAAGAGATCATGCCCGCAACAACCGTAACACGTTACGTAACGTCCGCAACATCCGTAATCACAATACCGCAATCACATTCGTAACAAAATCCGCAACCGAATTTGATACTATGGGTTGAGCATACCAACGAGCAGCCCAACTTCTAGAAGGGTCCATCACAGAGATCATCGAAAACCAATCAGAAAATCATACTAGAACAATGCTGAAAGAGATGAACTAGAAAGTTACGTTTAACACAAATGTTTACGAAAAGAAAGATACCCATTGAAATTAGGAGTGGTGCAATCGACGACGCGCTCGTTATCTCCATCCATCTTAAAGAATAGGCAATTTTCGCATCCTGATTCTCTGAACTGTAAATTTAAAAACAAAATGCAGTAACTACTAACTACAACTCCTCGGATTGAAACCCTGACTTAAACCGGGAGAACGAAAAGAACCTGATCGTATGTTTTGACGAGGCAGCAACGAAGGCAAGCCCTGAGCTCGTGTCCGAAGCTAGTCGGGATTTGTGCCGGTGCGCTTCCCATTCCTCTTCCGTTTTCCTTCTTTAAAGATTTCCCTGTTTGAGACTTTAAAAACCAAGGATAATTTTCGTTAAGATTTTTAGTAGTTTCTGATTTGTCGTCTGCTTAAAGTAAAAATAAACCTCTAAATTATGCTAAAAATCCTTGAATTTTTTTTTGGTCAAAATAAGTTTTAAAATTAGGGTGAAGTACATAAATGGTCCCCTAATTATATAATATTATTTTGTTGAGTCCATCAACTATTAAAAGTTACAAAAATGGTCCACAACTATAAGACATTATTTTGTTGAGTCCTTTGACTATTAAAAGTTACAAAATTATCTCTTGACTATTAATATGTTCCAAAATCATCATTTTCTGTTAAAAATTTAACGATAATATGAGCCAGATGTTAACCTGCTACCGAGATATGATAAAATATGATGGCATAATCTTAAACGACTATCATATATCAGTTAACATGTTAACGTCCAACTTAGATGACTGTCAATTTTTAAAAGAAAATGATGAGTTTGGAACATAATGAATAGTCGGGTGATCATTTTGTAACTTTTAATAGTCAAATGACTCAACAAAGCAATGCCTTATAGTTAGGGGGATCATTTTATATTTTTTAATAGTTTGAAGACTCAACAAAATAATATCCTATAGTCGGTGACCATTTACTGTACTTACCCTTTAAATTATTATATTTAACTATTTTAAGTTTTATCATTTTTTAGTTAATTTTTTCAGTTAATAAAATATTGACATATAGCATAGATTTTTAACCAAGAAAAATATTATAAGAACTTAAAGTAAGAAAAAAAAAGGACATAGTTTAAGGGGGTTTTGATAAAAAAAATAATTTAGTTAAAAAATACATAATTTAAGGATTTATTTTTTGTTTAAGCGTTTTTTTGTTCAATACAAAAGGGTAAATTATATAAATGGTCACTCACGTTTGAGTAATTTTCTTCTTTTTTCCACTAATATTTCAAAACTTACGATTTGCTCATTAAAATTATTAATTTATAATAAACTTGTCACTCACGTTGACCGTTGTTACTGTGGATGACAAAATGATGACGGGGCACATTAACTGTTAACCTAACAACCAAGAGAGAACAAGAGTCGAGAGAAAACAACAACACGATGAAGCAATGGTGACAACTTATGGGAAAAGCTATTTTCTCCTTCGTCGATAATTGCAGACCTACATTATTATTCAACTCAACAAGCATCGTGGATTCAAAAAATACAAGCGGGTAAACATCTTAGTGAGTAAAATATTAAAAACATCGGTGAAATTAAATTTTGTATCGTGGTAAAATTATTGCAAAACGAGGTTTTTGTCATTGACATGAAAATTAAAACAATAAATCAAACAAAGTAATAAAATATTGTGTCGTGATAAACCACTTTCTTATAAGTAAATTCGTCACGGTTGGTATAATCATTGCACTAGACAATGTCTCTGAGGTTAACAAAGTCATTTTAATAAATCTTACGGTTGAAGTTTTGAGTGGACGATGATGATATTGTTCTTTTCTAAAACCATAACTTTGGAGAGAAACAGTAAGCTTTAAAAAGCAGTGAAAAACGGTGAAAGAAAAATGAATTTATGAGATAATTTGAAAATATTGAAGGCCTTGATATTCATAGGTTAAATTCAACAACAGAAAACAGATGTATTAGCAGTTGTTGTAACAACCGAAATTAAGGTTGAAACCTAAAGATTAAAAAAATCTAAGGAAGAATTATTTTTAGGATTAAAAACTCTAAGAAAAATTCTTATAGATTATCTGTAAAAAGATAATATGCGTAGAGTACATGTTTGAAGGCGTATGTTTATACAAAGAAAAAATAACCTCAGTGACAAAAAATGCCTTAATAATTCGCAACGCGATCTCTTGTATCGCAAATCAGTTTCCAGATTTGCAACGCGAACTTCGACTATCGCAACGCGAACTTGGACTATCGCAATGCGATAGTCGAAGTTCGCGTTGCGAATCTGGAAACTGATTTGCGATACCGGAGATCGCGTTGCGAATTATCGATCGCATTGCGATTTAGTTGGTCATTTTGGCAAATCCAAAAAAAATTTATTAAAATCGTATATTATAAGACATTTTTAGTCACTAAAATTATTTTCTCTTATACAAATTGGTCGATCACGATAACAATACACGTACAAGGGCATCGTCACTCTACTTTCAACAAGAAAAGAAAAAAAATATGTTTATAAAGTCATCTAGAAACACCTCTCTTCCCAACTTGAGATTACTTACTTTTATACTCTTTAGCATTATCAACAAATACAACCAAACCTACTTCACTAGATTGGAAGTGATGGATAGGATAAAGAAGAGCCTGCAATCTGCAATCACTTTACCTCACAAGGCCAAGACTGAGGACACCCCAAGCACTAAGCGGCCAAGACTTGTCCTTAGCCTTAAGCAACAAAACTCTTGCCCAAGCGATCTATCCTTCCCATGACATTCTCTTGTCCCAAGGACTCCCCCCACTCCAACATCAATATCACCCCCTTCTCAGCCTCTTTATCGCCCTCCTCATACCTCCCTTGGTTCAAATAAACCTGAGCCAACACCACATGCGGCTCCCCCACAAACGGGTTCTTCTCACAACACCTTAACAACAGCTCCTCGGCTCTTTCAGACCCATTGCAAATGGCTTCCCAATAAAAGTCCCTTGCCTCCACTTGCTCCTTCGGCTCCAAAACTTTTGTGCAGTTTTCAAAAACCGGTGGCACCACAAGCTTCAGATCTTCATCAATGTCTTCCTCGACCTTGATGTCATTAACCCTTTTTTTCTCTTCTATGATTATGGCTTCGTCTCTAATTAGTATTAGAGTATAAACAGCGCCGATTTTCGATATCGAGTTCATCCATAGGCCTGGCTTGCCATCTCCCGGCCATAAAGTAGCATAGTTATCCCCCAGGAACTTGAACTTTCCATCGAAGTTATCAAACAACAGATCTTGATAGCCAAAGAATTGGTCACTGTAATCCGCCATGCTCATCAAGAGAAAAACACCCATCACTTTTCTGGTGATCAAAACATCTTCACCACTCTTTATATTCTCCACCACAATCCCATCCTCGGTTAAAAGAACTCGCAGTTTCTTCCTCCATGGTTCATTTCTATCGAATATACCATTTTCCGTGGCGTTCTTCGGTGAAGTCTCGGATAACTTAAGGTGTTCGATGAGTTCAGAATCGGAGTATTTGAACAAAAGATTGTCATGTATCATAGTTTGACGAGGGACGACGCAGAACAAGTGGATCAAACGCTCTGCAACCTCACCAACATGGCCTCGAACAACGTCTCGACCGGTCGATGCGTCGAAGATAGCGAGGTTTACGTAGGCGATGGAGTAAGCGGAATGGAAGAGGCCACAAAGGCAAACGGAGTTTTGTGCTTTCCACATCTTTAGAATACGATATACGTCGACCAAATGCTCCAAAAAGCTGCCATGTTTATGGGAACACTCACCAGCGCCGGCGGAACGTAAGACCGCGATCAATGAAGGTAAGCTTTTGTCGACGGATTCCAGCTCACCTCGGAGGAATAGGCGATGGAGTAAGCGGAATGGAAGAGGCCACAAAGGCAAACGGAGTTTTGTGCTTTCCACATCTTTAGAATACGTATCCGTCGACCAAATGCTCCAAAAAGCTGCCATGTTTATGGGAACACTCACCAGCGCCGGCGGAACGTAAGACCGCGATCAATGAAGGTAAGCTTTTGTCGACGGATTCCAGCTCACCTCGGAGGAATGGGCGTGGTGTCTAAGAGGGATTCGAGGTGATTGAGAAGATGGCATTGGAACTTGAAACTTGGAAGCAAAGGAAGAAGTATCGGGGGTTTTTGCTTAGATAAACCATATCTCGTTGTTCAAACCTTTTTAAACTAATAATATGATGAATGAAATTTAATCTTAAATTGATTAATAAATTTAATATCAATAATTAAATAAAAATATTATATTTTGTTGTTCATATTCTTTTATGTGATTTTATCAAAGTCTATGTGATCCCAGTTTTCTCCAATAGAAGAGGAAGGAAAGTTGTAGAATTGTCAGATGAGATTCAATGATTTCTTTTGTCCCACTCTACTGTAAGTTTGTAATAATTGTTAGATTTTTTTCTTATGTAGTTGGCTCGTAGGAAAAAGGCACGCGACACAAATGCTTATTACGAAAAAATATTTTAAAATTAAAAGAAAGTATAAATATTGTGAAAACTTTTTAATATATTTAATATATTTTTCTCCTTCAGACAGAGTTTTTAAGACGACTATAGTATACAGATAAAGATTATTGTTAAACACATGTAATATCAAACGAAATTTAAAATTTGACATTATATTATCTAGTCTGTTAGTTTACAAACAATCATTATTATCACATGCCCGACATCAAGAGCTATGGTAACTATAAATATATCCAATTAAAGTGATATAAGAATCTAACATTCTATAATCAACACCCATTTTTATCTTTTCCATTATAACTATCTCTATAACATATAAATATTATCTATGATCATTCTCTTACCGATTATAACTATTCACCTAAACTAAAAATGATAAATTATCAACGGTCGACCAAATAACCTTATTATTATCAATAAATTTTAATCCTAATAAATTTATGCAAACTGGCAAATCAAAGGGCATAATCTATCAAATCATCTTTAGTATTCGTTATTATCAAGCCATAATAAACCTCATTTGAAATGTTATTTTAAGCATATAAATTAATAGATTTTATGTGGCTGACTGATAATTAACATCATTCAAATCTACACATATAAATATTATTAATTATTAGTTATTTTATTTGTAAAAAAATTATTAGTTATTTTTAATGTGATGAACCATAAAATTTTCAAAGGACATCTATGTTCAAATTCTAATATTGCAAATGAAGAAAACTATATAAGAATTATCATTCTATAATTACTTTTTATAATTCGATATGAATTTATCATATAATAGATCAAGTATAGATGATTACATCATCTCAATAAAAAATTTATTTATATCGTACATATTTAATACATGAAAACAATAAAGTGAAAATTAATTTTCTCATAATAAATAATTATGTTTATATATTAATTATTGACAACGTTACAAATTAAGAAAGTAAAAAGATGACAACTAATTTAATGAAATTCGTGAATTAGTTTTATTTTGTTTCGTGTTACTTTCTTTCTTTCTTCCATTGATTATGCTTAAAGCAACCGATGACAACTAATATCAATATTTTTTCATTTTTTTTAAAATTAATTTCAAAAACTATCAAAATGGTTAATGAATTTGAAGGGAGAGGAGTCCATGGCCCACTTCAGTCTTCTTCAAGCCTCCAGCTTTTTGGCATTAATTAGAATTCCTCTCATACATATAAAATGTTATACACAATTCTGGTTAAATAAAAATTTAGTAATTTAATATAATTATATATAATTTTAGTTTTAATTTTATTATACATATGAAATTATATTTTTAATTTTGTTATATAAATTTTAAATATATATATATATATAAGTAAAATTCATGAGTTATTAATAAAAATATTAATAAATTATGGAAATTAAATTAAAATTTCATTTATAAAATATAAAAATGACAGTTTCCTTTTAAAAATTATTTTAGATTCAAAATATATATTTTATGATATCGACATGCAAATTTTGATTAAATCACTACTTTAATTGTATAATTAAATCTATTTATTCAATTAATATAAAAAAATCAAAATGTTCATAAAAATATCTTTAAGATACCCAAAAAAATATAGATTTTTTTTATTTTAAATTTTTTATTATTCATTTTGAATTTTTTCGAGTTTAATATATGTTTTGTGTCACATGATACTCTAGATAACATGTTTCTAGAGTGTCATGAATTTTTTTAACGAAAGAATGGAAAAAGATAACATACTTTCCGTAAGAAAAATTCATGGACGAAAAAATTGATAATAAAGTACAATTTTAGAGGTTAAAATCCAATTTAACCTTAATTTTATATAATATTTTAAGTTATTTTCAATATTTTTAACACATACTTAATTTTATTCAATTAAGATAATTATAATTTTAAATTATAAAGCATAATATGTGTAGACATCCTATTTTCAATTTTCTTTTGCTTAACCATAACCTTAATTATCATGAATTTAGTCAAGGTTTGGGTGTCTTTTTCATTAGGGGTATACAGTTGTTTAATGTTGAAAAGACAGATTAAAATACAATATAGTATCTATACAAAGACTCTCAATCCTTAGACATGAAAGTACATACATATACATTTGCTTCTTTTCTATTAAAAGTTAATGGAAAATGAACCTCGAAACAACAAAAAGACTATCAACCTTTATCAACAAATTTGAATTAGCAAGATGTAAGTTTCCCGATCAGGAAAAGGATCAAATCATCCCACCCCAACTTTTGTGTGTGTTTGTGTTTTTTTTTCATCTATTGTCTAATTAATCTAATCCAAAACTATAATAATTAATTATAAATGTTATTCTCTCAACTTAATTTAATTTACTTATTTCATCAAGATTAGAACTCTATCTTTGATTATAATGGTTTTTGGTATAATAATTTTTTTTTGAAAGAGGGTACTTTGTATAAAAGGGGTACAAAGTACACCACCTCAAGGACCTCATTAAAAAACCTCCCTAATCCTAAATGAAGGAAAAAGAGAATACCTTGAGGTGGAAAGGATCTAAAAACAAATAATACTTTAACAACAACCAATCCGAACTCAAGCCAAACAACGAACCGCAGGCCAGTTCAGAACCGTTCCAACATAAACTAACGACGGGAATGAAAAAAGAAAATCGAAAGAATCATACACAAGCAACAGACCCTTTCACACAACCCACGACCTGAACTCAACTAGCAGCAGCAACCAGAACGGAGCTAGAAGAACATCCAACAAAACACCAACTCCCTAATTGCACCCACTGTCATATTTCCAACAGAAAAAACTGCTCAAGACAACACAGCCAACCCAATTCAACCAACCGAGAAAAAGAAAAACAACAACGATTGAATGGATAACAAATCAACTAGCAATTGCACCAGAAAACCAATGCACGACCACACAGAGAAAAGAAACTGAAGCTTCCAGGACGCATGCTCGAAATGATAAGCCACAGCACCGAGACGCACGAAACCAACAACGAGCCCACGTTTCAGAGTACGTCCACAGCAACACAATACAAAACTAGAGTCGAACTATCATAACAAACACATATCAAAAAAATCCCACTACTAACATCTCCAACCAAACAAAACAGAATCGGGGCAACGGACAAAATCTTGAATGCTCGGAACCAGTAAGGGCCAAAGCATATTAGCCCACACACCTATATGGACTATAGCCGAGAAGAAAATCTGATCAGCCGAGAAATACTTGCCCTGGAACCTGCTTTTATTACGGTACAACCATAAATTCCATATAATACGAAGAATCTGATAAACCATAGATCCTGTAAAGACTTTAATTTTTTGAGAACACCAACAGCAAATCTCTAACATTCAAAGGAAAAACCATACAAATATGCCCACGAAACACCAGCGTTGCCAACCTGCCATGAACTCTCGCAATGAACCAAAATATGATTAATATATTCTGGAAACTATTGCAGAAGGAAAGAAATCTGATCAGAAACATGAACTCCCCGCTTCACCAGTTCAGGAATAACCGGCAACCTTTGATGCACTGCTTTCCAAACAAACCCAGACACTTTTGGAGAACTAATGTACACCATACAACTTGCCAAATCGGATCGACCAACTTGCCTTCGGAAGTCACAGAATGACAATAAAGTTTTGGGGTGTATCTTCTATCAGCGGAGCCCACCCATTTTAATTTATCGTGAGCAGGAGCTGAACTAGCAGCTAGATTAATAACCTCCAATAAATGCGACCAAGCCCAAAATCATATATCTTTCCAGATTTTTTAACAGTCAATCCAAAAATTCTGGGGAATGATGCTTTAAGGGAGATCAAATTAGACCACCGATCATTCCAAAAATTGATTTTCTCTCCATTTCCCATAATGCATATAAAATCATCACACACATTCCCCAAACGAAAGGCACCGATTGACAATGTTACGCCAAACCCAAGAAGAATTACGCGAATAAACCTCTTTTGGCAAAATATCAAGGGGATCGTAATTGTACTTAGCAACTATGATTTTTTTCCAAAGGCTATCATTCTCCTCGCTAAAACGCCAAACCCACTTATTTAGCAGAGCTCGATTTCTGGTTAGAGCATCAAAGATACCCAGACCCCCATGAGATTTTGGACCACAAACAGATTTCCAATTTAACCAATGAATTCCTCTCTTCAAATTACCCTTCCAGACGAAAGAGGCGATGACTTTATCAATAGAGTCAGCAACGTCATTAGGAATAGGGAATAAAGACATGAAATAAACATGA